GAAAATATGAAAAGATTTGGTTGAATTCTTATAGCAGTAGAGCTTTATACTTCTGACCATTTTTTAGGCGATTTTTGGTCATTTTTGCAAAAAAAACAAGGAGGGGAGGTGAAATCCCCCCAGTTTGACCAAATTTCCTTAAACTTAGACTGAAGTAGTTTTGGGTGGACCCCTTTAAACTGGCAAAGTTTCATTGAAATCGGTGAGATGGCTTGTGCCACCCCCGCCTGGTCCTATCGTGGATGCACTCTTAAGGATATGATGAAATTTCATGTGGACCCTCACGTACTTGTGGCTGTGGAAAGTATCACAATGATCTTCCATGTCGTTGTGGTTGTTTCAAATTGGAAACCTTTTCCATATTTACGTCACTTTTTTTTTTTTCTTAATCAGAATTTTGTGTTTTTCACAACATAAACAAAAATGCAGTTTAGTTGAATAGTGCCAGAATTCTTGGAACACAAGTTAGACCTGAGAGTGGGGATGCTGGGCCCATCCTTAGGCCCACTTGTTATTTTGTGAGGCCCAGGGATTGATCTATAATTTCATTAGCCAGGACCACACCAATAAGCTGAAGCTCGATTGCTTATTGAACGCGAATGAGTGTTGTGTTGATGAATACTTAAATGAGCTGATGCTGTGTAGGGAAATACTTACTCAGAGATCAGCAGCGGATCCTGAGCTGGCGAACCCCCTAGGAGAAGGAGAGGAGGTGAGGCACAAGAAGCGAGAGTGAACAAGTGGGAAGGGCAGAGTGGTATGTATAGACGTTTGACAGGAGGAGGAGTGGTTGAGATGTGTTCCTGCTCTCAACCCTCAACTATAGATTTATGCTCCATTTTGCTATCTAGGATCACACCAATAAACTGAAGCTTGATTGTTTGTTAGACGCAAATGAGCATTGTGTTGGTGAAGACTTAGATGAGCTGATGCTGTGTGGGGAAATGCCTAGTCAGGGATCAACAGTGGATCCCGGGCTGGTCGAACCCCCAAGGAAGAGGAGAAGAGGTGAGGCACAAGAAGCAAGAGTGAACAAGTGGGAAGGGCAGAGTAGTATGTATAGACGTTCAACAGGAAGGGGAGTGGTTGAGGTGTGTTCCTGATCCTGAACCTCAGCTAAAGATTTACGCTCCAATTTTCTAGCTCGGACCACACAAATAAGCTGAAGCTTGATTGTTAGTCCTTCATAGATCTGGTGATGAAGTTGCTGGGGAGTTTCATGGAAGGATAGGTGAGTTGGTATCCCATGGCCAGAAGTGGCTGTAGTGATGGAGCTGGGAACAGGTTTCAGTAGGGTAGGTTGCTGGTTGGTAGGATGAACTGTTAGGAACATTTTTTTCAGTGGAGTCCTAACTGCTCCAAATCAGCACACAGAGTCGTCTCTTAACACAAAAGCAAAATTTTACTTGCAACAATCAGCCAACATGAAGATACAGATTCTGAACAAGTGACTGACTAAAAGCATGAAGCATTGGTTCTTATGTACAGACAGTGAACAGAATACAGAAGACCAGAACACCTGGCAACCCAGGCGGAGTTAGAGCGTGGTGATGTCATGCTCGGGTGCACAGCATGGCGTCTAATGGGGAGAGGATTGTTTTGGTTTGTTACATGTTGAAAGCTCTTGGAGTTTTAGTTTAGTGTACTTTGTCATCAGCAAGGGGGCAGGTGAAGACTGTCCCTTAAGCTCTGTGAAAACCAAAGGCAAATTAGTCAGAGATTTTATGTAGAGGGACATTGTCAGGAGAACTGTCAGAAATGTGGGAGCACGACAAGTGTTTCTGGGTGCCATGAGGGAATGAGTCGGCTTCTCTGCAGGCTTGTCTGCTTCAGCGTGCAGCCTCAGCATCTGAAAGATGGAGGATTGTTGTGGTCATGGGACCTCAGTTCTGTGAGTTTCTCAGAAATCTGAATAGTTTAGCTTTGTTGTCAGAGTGATGACAGATAAAGTCTTTCTCTTAATGCTTTCTGAAAACCGGCAATGGTCTGGTCAGAGATTTCATCTGGAGGGACATGGCCAGAGGATCTGTCAGGAGGCTGGGAGCACGCCAATTTTTTTCAGATGTGGCAGCTTGTCTGGATGCTTGTCTGCTTCGGACAAAAGCCCTGAAACGAGTAAAAGTTGAGGAATGTAATTACATTTTGACTTTGCCTGAGAAGAGGTTTCCTGGTTGTAGCTGGGATTGGATGAGAAGTGTCTGATGGGGCTGGAGAACGGAGAGTGAAGTTCTGATTGAAGTTGCCGCTTCATGATGAGCGATGCAGCTAATGGCAGTGGGGAAAACCTACGTAATCCTAATATAAAAACTAAACAAAACCAACAACTAAGCTAAAACAACAAAATGGGGATACTCACAAAAGGGGACAAAACTGAAGGGGCAGATGGGCTCGGGGGTTGAGGATCAAGGCAGGCAGGCAGGAAACAGAGCGGGGGTCAACAGAAAACATGGAGGACAAAAGTTTATGGTCTGGCAGGGTGTGGTGGAATGAGGAGGGCTTTTGTAGCAGGAGGTGGATGATTGGGCTCAGGTGAGCGGATAGCCACAGCTCACTCCAATAGCTGTAATCAGGGCTGGAGTGACTGAGAGGGTGAGCAAGGGAGGTAGAGAGAGAGACACACACAGATGCAGACAGAGAGACAGAGGCAGGAGCTGAGGCTCAGGCAGGGCCTGAAGCAGGGATCCTGAAACAAAACCACCAGGGATTGATAATTCATCTACCTAGTTGGTATTTCAAAGTGTTCTGGAACATTGGGTAATAATAACAGCAAGTCGGATTGCTGCCTTTATAGCAGCTCTTCAGATATGTCTATTAACTCACAGCACTACAAAATGACAGTTATTTTAGAATGTGACTGAACTGACTCTTGTGGACTGAAATTTACAGTACACAAGATTATTATACCATACTTTCTCATACTGTTCAATGCTTGTTTTTCAAAACTGCCATTCACTGTATTTTCATATAGGATTTGCCTCACTGTATAGCAATTATTGTTCCTGGAAGAGTTTACCTTTTCCATGTCTGATACTCAATAACAAGGAATTTACAGATGCTGCGTGCACACTTTTCATAAAATTTTTAAGTTGTTTTTTTTTTTTTTTTACACATAACTGATTTTCTTTTATTGATTAAATTATTTAAAAAAAATAAGTCTCATATATCACACTTTCAAATCCATCAAGATAGACGAATGGGTTTGATATTAAATGCTCATCATTGCAACCTGCTGACATCCAGGTACTGACTCAACATTGTTAATTTATACCAGGGTGCTGCCTAATCAACAAGGAGTAAAATCTTAAAGACATTGCTCAGAAATGGAATGTACACCAGTCACTAAGTATTTCTGTACCCTGTTGCCTTCTTTTTACTGACAGGATGGAATGCAGGCTCCATCATCTCCATCATCTCTAAGAGCTGCTCCTCTCCAGGTCCAGAGCAAGCCATCCAGGGAGAAGGAGCTCAGCCGGAAGCCTTCAGCCCGGCTGGTGTCAGCTGGTTCAAGCCGACTCTTCACTGGCCCCACTCGTTTGCTCCAGGACTGCCTTCATAAGTCACTCAAATCCCTTCCCACTACCCACCAACACTCCCCAACATCTGCTCAACACGCCTATGCTGGTGCCAGTCACCACACTTCCCTCAATGCACTCCATCACACCTGCCAGAGCTCCCTTCAACTCTCCGACTCTGAGCACCACGACATCCCCCTCTTCGCTCATCATGTCCACCACCACACTGCCCACCATAACAGGCCCAGGTCAGGACACCACACCTGTCCAGGCTTCTTGCACCATCAGGACTCCTCCAGCCCTGCTAAGCCAGAGCCATGTGTCAAGCTTACTTGCAGATCCAGCTCCTATGAAAATTCCTCTGTCTTGTCTATGTCTGGATCATCTTCCAAATTGGCATCTCCCATGCCATCCCCTCATCCATCACCCCATCCTTCACCATGTCCCTCCCCCTGTCCCTCCGTAATAACACCTGCAGCCCCACCCTGTAGTCCTGATAGGCCCTGCTCACCTGCCCTCACCCAGAGAGCTATCGTAACAGACATGAACCGACTGTCTGCAGAGTCCAGAATACAGCAAAGAGGTACACAGTCTGTGTGTTGTCTCCCTGTGCAGAAACACATATTATATACTGATACAATTATTGAACACAATTGTAATTTATTAGTATGATCCAGAACAACACTGACTGTGGAATTTTATCATGCAACATATCTGTGATGGTAGAAAATAAACACGCATCTGCTGCTGCTGGTGTGTGCTTCTGTCATAACAATGCACATTTACCAGCCTCTTTATTAGGTACACCTTGCTAGAGTGGGGTTGGACCCCATTTTGGCCCATCGAACTGCTTTAATTGTTTGTGGAATAGATTCCGCAAGATGTTGGAAACATTTCTTAAAGATTTTAGTTCATATTGACATAATAGAACCATGGGAATTGTGGTGACTGTGGAGGCCATTGGAGTACAGTGAAGTCATTGTCATTTTCAAGAAATCACTTTGAGATGATTTGAGCTTTGTGACATAGCTCGTTATACTGCTGGAAGTAGCCATCAGACGATGGGTCACTCTAGTCATGAAGGAAAGGACACGGCCAGCAACAATACTCGGGTAGGCTGTGGCATTTAAACCATTTTTTAACTGGGGCCCAAAGTGGGCCCAAAGTGTACCAAAAGTAAGGGCATTATATGAGATATGTCACAAATCTGCCAACTAAATCATTACCAAACAGTTTCTTCACCAATATGTTTGTAAAGGTGTGTAATAACATGCTTTAAAATGTTGAAGTTCAACTCCCGTGGGAAACCCTGAAAAAAACGGCTCAAGTTAGGGTACCGATAAATGATTGTCGAAAAATCGTTTTTAAAAAAAAATCAGGCCTTAACTAACTCATGACGGGTCAAATCAGGGTTTTTTTTTCATGATTCTGAGTTGATTGTTAGCATTTATATTTCACCACAATCCCTCAATTGTTGAAAAAGGCCACACTCACTTTTACATTTACATTCACAGTAGCTTTTATTTCACATACTTATATAATACTCAGCGTATTCAAGAGTCATTGTCTATGTCTTCTTCAGACTTTTCTTCAGACTCAACAACATCATGACTGCAGTTTCTGCATGTAATGCCTTTACAGATTCCACAGGCCGAGATGCTCGTGACCCCATTCTTCTTGCAGCTGCACCGCCTGTTGTTGCAATCTCCACGACAATTACACCTCATGAACTTCAGTAGCTCCTCAGGAGCCATGGGGTCTAGTTTTGGAACTGGCTCATACCCATGCACACCTAATGTCCATTCATAGTCACTGGGGTTCAGAGACATGCTCTGTAGAATGAGATAGTCCCGGGTCTGTAGGTGGGCATGGAGTGAATGCTGTGCAGCTGCACCCTCTGTTGTCGAGTCTCTGGTTTGATCACTCCTACCGCCGCCTTCCTTGAGAACATCCATCCATGCATTATCTATACACCGTTTAATCCTCACTAGGGTCACAGGGGGGCTGGAGTCTATCCCAGCTGACTTAGAGTGAAGGCAGGGGACACCCTGGACAGGTCACCAGTCTATCACAGGGCTACACTTAGAGACAGACAACCAAGCACACTCACATTCACACCTACGGACAATTTAGAATCACCAATTAACCTCAACATGTTTTTGGACTGTGTGGGAGGAAGCCGGAGAACCCGGAGAGAACCCACACTGCGCGGGGAGAACATGCAAACTCCACGTAGAAAGATCCCACCTTGCAGCCCCTTCCTTGAGAACATGTTGTACCAAATTTCACCCTAAGCAGTATCTGCTCCATGATAAATGTACTGCATTTGGTCTCTGAGAGGAATGTGGCGATTTCTGATTGAAGTTCGTAAAAGTGTGAAAACACTTTGCCCCTCGACAGCCAGCAGACTTCTGAGTGATACGGCACCTGCATGTGCTCAGAGCCCAAGTCTTTGCACAGATTTGAAAAGCAGCGGAAATTCTTTGCACTCTGTTTTATGTGGTTCACCACTTTGATGACATTTGTTAATGTTTCATCAAGCACAGGTACCATATCCTTAGCCGCCAGTGCTTCTCGGTGCAAAAAGCAGTGGTTCCACGTCGCGTCAGGTGCCCTCTCCAGAATTCACTTCACAACACCTGAATGTTTGCCGGTCATGGAGGCAGCACCATCAGTAGTGATTCCCACACAGTAATCCCAGCTGAGGCCCAATGAGCTCAAATACAAGTCCAGGGTGTTAAAAATGTCCTCTGCCTTTGTATGGTAGGGAGGTCTCTGCTGCAGGGAAATTGTTCTTGCAAATCACCGTCCCACACATGTCTCACATAAACCAGCAAAATGGCATGGCTAGCGACATCTGTGGATTTGTCCATCTGTAAGGGCTTGCCAGGATGCGGGCTGTGGTCTGTTGTTTTATATTACCAGACATTTCTTCAATCCGCAGAGTTATGGTATCGTTGGACAGTAGTATGGTTTTCAGCTTGTCCACTGCTGACTGATCCAGCACATCTCTTACCATATCCATGGCAGCAGGTAAAATAAGCTCTTCAGCTATTGTGTGAGGTTTCTTGGCCTTTGCAATGCGGTGAGCTACATGGTAAGCTGCGCCGAGAGATTGTTCTTGTTTGGAGCAAGATGCTGTCAGACACTTTTGTGAAGTCCTCAGCTCCTGGAGTCGTCTATGAAAAAACTCCACCGGCTTGTCTTTGCATGCAGGATGTTTAGTTTCTAATGGCGCTTCAGTTTGGATGATTTCATGCTCTCATGTGCAAGCACTTCACTACAGAGCACACATTGGGGTTTCTGTCCCTTTTTATCCTCAATGTACAAAAATCCACATTTTAAATTATATGGGTCCCAACATCAACACAAACTTAAAATGAACGTCAAACAAACTATGATTTTGATGCCTGCCAAAATAAAAGGTTTTTCAAAATAAAAAACATGTCCAACCTGAGACGCACATTATATATTATTTATTTATTTATTTTGACCAGCTGTCTGCGACCCACCCAGAACAGGTCTGTGACCCACTTTTAGGTTGCGACCAGTTGAGAATCACTGACCTAAACAACACAATGTAACTCCAAGTCAATCACATTTCTGCGAAACCAACCTGTCCAATTAGGAAGCAACACTGATTGTGAATCAATTTCACCTGCTGTTGTGCAAATGGAGCAGACAACAGGTGGAAATGAGAGGCAATTAGCAAGACAACCCCTGTAAAGAAGTGGTTCTGCAGGTGGTGATCACAGACCATTTCTCTGTTCTCACCCTTTCTGGCTCATGTTTTGGTCACTTTTGCATTTTGTCAGTGCTCTCAGCCCTAGAGGTAGCACGAGGCATGTCTACAACCCACACAAGTTGCTCAGGTAGTGCAGCTCATCCAGGATGGCACATCAATACAAGCTGTGGCAAGAAGGTTTGCTGTGTCTCTCAGCAGTGTCCAGAGCATGGAGGAGATACCAGGAGACAGGCCAGTTCACCAAGAGATGTGGAGGGGGCTGTAGGAGGTCAAAAACCAAACAGTAGGACCGCTACCTCCTCCGCTTTGCAAAGAGGAACAGGTGGAGCACTGCCAGAGCCCTGCAGAATGACCTCCAGCAGACCACTAATATGCATGTTTCTGCTCAAACTGTCAGAAACAGACTCCATGAGGTGGTATGAGGGCCTGATGTCCACCAGTGGGGCTTGTGCTTACAGCCCAGCACCATGAGGGCGATTGGCATTTGCCAGAGAACACTAAGATTGGCAGATTCGCCATTGGCTGGAGATGCCGTGGAGAACGTTCTGCTGCCTGCAACATCCTCCAGTATGACCAGTTTGGTGGTGGGTCAGTAATGGTGTGGGGAGGCATTTCTTTGGAGGGCCGCACAGCCCTCCATGGGCTAGCCAGAGGTACCCTGACTGCCATTAGGTACCAGGATGAGATCCTCAGACCCACTGTGAGACCATATGCTGGTGCAGTGGGCCTTGGGTTCCTTCTGATGCATGACAATGCTAGGTCTCATGTGGCTGAAGTGTGTCTGCAGTTCCTGCATGGTGAAGGCATTGATGCTATGACTGGCCTGCCCGTTCCCCAGACCTGAATCCAACTGAGCACATCTGGGACATTATGTCTCGTTCCATCCACTAACGCCACGTTGCACCACAGACTGTCCAGGAGTTGACTGATGCTTTAATCTAGGTCTGGGAGGAGATCCCTCAGGAGAACATCCTGCCTCATCAGGAGCATGCCCAGGCGTTGTAGGGAGGTCCTACAGGCACGTGGAGGCCACACACACTACTGAGCCTCATTATGATTTGTCTTGAGGAATTTCCACTGAAGTTGGATCAGTCTGTAATGTGATTATCCACTTTTATTTTGAGTATGTTTCCAAATCCAGACCTCCATGGGATAATAATTTTGATTTCCATTTTTATCTTGTTTTGTTCTCAATGCATTCCACTATGTAGTAAATAAAGTTTTTCAACTGAAGTATTTCATTTATTGAGATCGAGGATGTGCTATTTTAGTGTTCCCTTTATTTTTTTGAGCAGTGTGTAAGTATGTGAAATAAAAGCTACTGTGAATGTAAATGTAAAAGTGAGTGTGGCCTTTTTCAACAATGAAGGGTTTGTGGTGAAATATAAATGCTAACAATCAACTCAGAATCATGAAAAAAAAACCTGATTTGACCGCTCATAAGTTACTTGAGGCCCAATTTAAAAAAACAAAAATCGATTTCTCGACAATCATTTATACCATATATCATTGTACCCTAACTTGAGCAGTTTTTTTCAGGGTTTCCCACGGGAGTTAAACTTTGACATTTTAAAGCATGTTATTACACACCTTTACAAACATATTGGTGAAGAAATTTTTTGGTAATGATTTAGCTGGCAGAGTTTGATATGTTTCCCTTACTATAAGAAAATATCCCCTACACCATTACATTATCACCAGCAGCCTGAACCATTGATACAAGGCAGGATGGATCCATGGTTTCATGTTGTCTGAGGCAAATGCTGACCATCTGAATGTCACAGCAGAAATCGAGGCAACGTTTTTCCACTTTTCTATTGCCCAATTTTGGTGAGCCCGTGCAAATTGTAGCCTCAGATTCCTGTTCTTAGCCTTCTCTTTTGCTGTTGCCTATCTCTTTTAAGGTTCAGCATGTTGCTTGTGTAGAGATGGTCTTCTGTATACCCTGGTTGTAACAAGTGGTTATTTGAGTTACTAACAGTAGTAATAAGTTGGCTTTCTAACATCTCAAAGTAGTCTGGACATTCTCGTCTGACCTCTGACATCAACAAGATATTTTTTTGACCAATGAAGTGTGTTTTCTCTTTTTTGGAGCATTTTCTGTAAACCCTAGAGATAGTTGTATGTGAAAATCCCAGTAGATCAGCAGTTTCTGAATAGTCAGACCAGCCTGTGTGGCACCAGTAACCATGCCACGTTCAAAGTCACTTAAATCCCTTTTTTTTTTTCCTTCTGATGCTCAGTTTGAACTTCAGCAGATTTTCTTGGCCATGTCTGCTGCCTCAATACAGTGCCATGTGACCGAATGATTAGATATTTTTAACGTGTAGTTGAACAGGTGTACCTAATAAAATGGTCAGCGAGTGTATACATGTGCTACAATGGTGCTCACTACACTAATTAGAGGTTCTTCTCCAGGTTTGTGAACAAATTTCAACTAAATTGAACTTATAATTAAACACAGGGTTGCAAATGATGCCTAAAATCAACATGTTATATGTATACCTGAATTCACCAAATTTTTCAAAAGAAAGTTCATGCTTGACCATTTCATATTTGCTTGATTTTTTTTTTCTGTGCACATGTCTGTTATTAAGTAAAACATAAAATCTGAAATCTGGGGTCACAGGTAACATTAGTTTTTGAGTTAAAAATTCTTAACCGGGGTGGGGTCATAACGATTTGTTTTTTCTTCGCGCCAATCTGTGATGCAATGTTTGAAGTGCCATAACTTAAGAAATAATGTAGCTTGAGTCCCGACATTTTGTAGGCTCATTGACATGTCCATATGGTCTTTAATGACACAACCCTACTTCGATAAAACAAAACAAACAAGTTATATGATGGTGTAATAGATGAATGTGGAACCTTCAGGCATCTGAAAATTGTACCCAAGGATGAACCAAACTTGTGGAGGTCCACAATTCTCTTCCTGAGGAAGCAGTGTGTTTGAGGTGTGCCTTAAAATACATCCACAGGTGTGCCTCCAATGAATTCAAATGTTGTCAATTAACCTATCTAAAACTTCCAAAGCCATGACATAATCATTTGGGCTTTCCATAATAGTTTGAAGGCATAGCAGTCTTAGTGTATATGAACTTCTGACTTTGAAGAAAGTAGTACAATATTCTCTAAAAAGTTCTCTCTCTCATTATTCTGGCATTTACTACATATAAGTAATATTGGTAATCTTAACTGACCTGAAACAGGAGAAGTCTGATGTAAGACAGTGAGGAAAAAAATTGAGAGAGAGAGAGAGGATACAATACTGGACAAGACATCAGATTCACTTAGAGATTTATTTTGTGACTTCAAAGTTATAAAATGTCTTTTAATGTATTGCCTGTTTAAATGCTAACATTATCATGTCCCCTCCAGGGGCCACCCTGTCCCAGCTGTCAGACAGTGGCCAGACTCTGAGTGAGGACAGTGGCGTGGATATAGCAGAGGCAGGAGGCCACATCAAGGATGGCAGCCCTCGACCCAGCAAGAACCAGCAGGGCCATCTGGAGCAGTCAGGGGCACTGGCATTTCCTCTAGGAGCCACCAGACAAGTGAGGGCATCAAGCTGTCATAAATAACCAATCATTAGATTTACCATGTTGATCACCAGATCACTACTTCTGCTGCTTTCATTCCATTCCTTTCATTTGAAAAGAGTAAGACATCACAAGTTCTTACAACAAAATGAAAACACAAACAAAGCAAAACAACACAACAAAAGCACAACAATCTGACTAACTGTATTGTGTGTGTTTCCCATACGATAGATAGATAGATAGATAGATAGATAGATAGATAGATAGATAGATAGATAGATAGATAGATAGATAGAT